TTTATTAAACTCTTTGCATCCTGTTTTAAGCTTAATAATAAATTGCATGTCACATTACGGCTGTGTTTATTAAAACCCATTGGCGTGGGCTCTGCTCTGCAACAGCATTTGAATTATTGAAAGCAGCCCCCCGTGGAGACCTATTTGCTGCAAACGCAGGAGGATTTATTTCCATTTTGTTTATCAGATGGCATAAGTGCTGGGTGGAGGCAGGGAAGTGGTCTTGCTCTTTTTATTGTCTCCCTGAGCCAGCACAGCAGGGCAAAGAGGTACCATGCAGAGAGCACAAGGGAAAATACCACCCCACCAGGGATGGGGACAGGTTGGGGACAGAAGTCCTGGACATAGCTGGCTGCTCTGCCCTGCTTGTCTCTCTGGCTCTGGTTGAGTTCCCCATGCCTGATTGCTCTGTGCCTCAGTTTACCCATCAGCAGAGCGAGGTTACAGCACTGCAAGTTTCCATCCAGGCGTGACAAGCATTTAGCTCAGGCTGGCTGAGACCCCTGCCAGAAGCTATCCATCTCCCATGGGAGGAACCCCTGCTGTGGGGGGACTGGCAGGGTGGCTACGAGGGGTTTTGACCCTTTTGCAGCCCCGGTTTAAAGCACACCCCCCAGGACAGCGGCTGAACATCTCCAAGCTCTGCCCCATCCCAGCTGTGCCTGCCGCAGCCACCCAAAGCCGGTGTCAAGAGGATGCTCTGGCTCCTGTGATCATCGCGAGGGACAGTTCAGCACCCGTGTCCCTCGGGATGGCTTCGCCCCTCCCAGCAAGGCAGAGCTGCTGCCAGGGCCAGGGGGAGGGCATGGAGCAGGCAGGGCTGGATTTGGGGGGGTCGGGGTGCTCCAGGGGTGCCCAAGACCCCACGGGCCTTCACCGGCCGCCCAGCACGGTGGCAGGGCTCGGTGTGGCCGGTGGCTTTGCCAGGAGATGGCACTGTTCAGCGGCTAATCGCGCCGGTGGCCCAAATCTGGACTCTGGGATGGAGGCGCAGAGGTGCCTCCTTCCCCGGGCCCAGGCCAGGGCAGGGAAGGACAGGGACAGTGTGTTTTCGCTGGTGGATCATCTCTGTCTTCCAAACTTGGCGGGGTTTCCCCGCAGACCACGAAACCCTGTGGCTTGGCAGCTGCTTGGGGTGCCTGCTGCCAGGCGAGCTCTAGGCAGCACCAGCGGGTGCAAGGATGGGGAGGCACGGGGGGGTGTCAGATCAGCTGTTCGGGGAGCAGGACACCCTGGTGTCACCACTGGATCAGGCACCGACCATCTCGGTGGCCTCCTGGCCCGCGGTGGTCCCTGGAGCAAGCGGGGGACCTGGATGGTGTCCCCACACCAGAGGCTGGAGCGGTGGGAAGAGCTGCGGTCCTTCCAGCAGCCTGCAGCAGGGGCTGGGTGCAACATGAACCACAGGTTTGGGGCAGAAAGCAGCTGCTTTGGAGGCTGTGGGGGGCTGTCTTACCTGAATTTCTCCCCCCAGGACCCAGAGCTGCGAGTACACAATGAAGGTGGCCAAAACACTTGATTGTGGCAGGGCAGTGCCAGCCCTGTGCGTATCCCCATGGGGGCTGAGGTCCGGTGGGTTTTTAACTGCAGAGTTTTGGCTCCGTTAGCCTGTGTCTTCAGGGTCTTTCAGGTGCCGGCAGGATGAGTCCCTCCTTTCTATGTCCCCAGCCTCATGGTGACCTCCGGTGCCCAGGGAGGTGTCCTCACCCCGGAGTGCCGGGGTCGGTGCATTCCCTGGGCCAGCGGCCACGTTAGCGCTTCCCCATCCAGATGACCCAGTCCCTGACGTCAGCCCGACATCTGGGCCGAGCTGCTGCTCCGAGCACAGGCAGCTGGGCTGGCAGGAGCCGCTGGGGCCCCTCCGCCCCCACCAAGCAACTGCCCCAAAAATCGGTCAGCAAAGGGATTCGGCACTGCACACTGTTGTGGCACGATCTCTGTCCCCATACTGTCACCAGGTGAGGTTTGGTTGGGTCCCCAGGACCCTCCAGGTGCCCGGAGCCAAGCAGAGCATCTGCTGCTGGCAGAGCCCAGGGGGACCCCCTCTGCAGGGCAGGGGCTGTGGCAAGCAACTGAGCAGCCAGCGGCAGAGCTGACAAAACGTTTTTAGAGCCAACAAATAACCTCAATTAAGCTCTGTGGCAGTGACCGATTCCAGCCATGCAGCGATATTGGCTCCTTTAATTTTTAAGTGGCTGGAAATGGCAAGGCCAGGAGCCCGGGTGGGGGGACACCAGCCCCCTCTGTGCCCCTGGGGCTGCTCTGCTGCCCCTCATCTTGAGGGGAGTGGAGCCCCCAGACTGGCTGAGCTGCCAGCCTGCAACTCAGGCAGCCCTCTCCTGCACTGGGGTCTGGGGAAACTGGGAGACACAGCCCGCAGTTTGGTTAATTTTGGCCAAGGGCTTTTGCTCAAGCTCCCCCTTCTCTCAGCCACCACGTCCCCGCTGCCCTCCCTGCAGGGCAGGAGCAGGAGCCGACAGCATCCCCTGCCAGGTACCCAGGGGGTACCACAGGGAGCAGGTGCAGAGCCAAGGGAGGCAAGGACTGAGACCAAAATGCAGATGCCCATCCATGCCCAGGCAGGGCATCACTCCGCAGAGCACAGGGAGAGCCAGGGATGGGGGTCCGACCCATCCGACCCCCCGGCCAGCCCAGCGCTGCACCCACACCCGGCACGACCTGGATTCGTGCCGACGCGGGCAGGGGTAGCCTGGCCCTGGGGAGGGTTGGCATGGCAGCCCTGGACAGGGGCCAGCCCCGGGCACCGGCGGGTAGCCCAGCGAGCAGCTCTCGCCTGCTGAAGCTCCAGGACGCTCTCGGGTTTCCCTGCAGCAGCCTCAGCCTGAGCATGGCCCAGTTCCACCAGCCGATTTGTGTATGAAACAAGGAGGGGATCAGGATGGGTGAAACACCCCAGCTTCTCCAAAAGCAGGTTTTGCACCAAAAAAAAGCAAAATAAAAGCCAACAGCACATTTCTGTCCCTGGTCTCTCCCAAACACCCTCTGACTCTGATGTAGCAGCCCCATGAGGATGCTATTACACTGTTAGATGGAAGGAGAAACTAAGGTACGGGTGGCTTTTGCATTTCCCAGGCTGAGAAGGGGTTTGCTGCCAGAGAGGACAGGCAGCCCAGTAAGCAGGCAGGCAGGGAGGCAACGCTGCCGGCTGTGCCCCATCAGGCTGCGACGCAGGGGCCAGGGCTGGCCCAGCCTCACCGGCTGCAGGAATTTTGCTCCGCTGCCAACTCCAGACAAATCCCTTTTATTTGCTTGTTCAGGTTTCGATGCCGTAATTGCATCGTCTGAGCCAGCTCTCGAGAGAAAGAGGAAGAAAAGAAAAGAAAAAACAAGGGAAGGAGAGCAGCGCGGCGCCCGAGCCGCCAGCCTCATCACATCCTGCCTGCTCCTGCCTGGGGACTGGCCAACTCCTTCCTCTTGGGGTCTGGCTCCCCGCCACCGCCCTCGACTCATCACATCCTGCCTGCTCCTGCCTGGGGACTGGCCAACTCCTTCCTCTTGGGGTCTGGCTCCCCGCCACAGCTCCAGACCTCCCTGGAGCTGGGACTGAGTAACCGAGAGCGGTTTGGTCCACAGGGAGGTTTTGAGTCTCAAAAGTCCTTTAAATGCTGCTGGTTTGGGGAGCAAAGCACCCCCTGAGTGGGAGCTCAGCCCTGGGATGCTCATGGGAAGGTGTCCTGCCAGCCCTCTCCGGGCACGGAGCAGCACAGCACAGCTCTGGGCTTCCTTCCCACCCTCCCCCCAAATGACAATTTGCTGTAAATCACCAGCTCTGGGAGGCAGGTGGGTTTTCTTTTAAAAAGGAGCATTTCCAGTGGAAACAGGAGCCTCCCTGTCCATCCCCAGCCAGGCACAAGAGCTTCTGTGCCCAGACTGCGCTGGCAAGGCTACGGTCACCTGGGTGGAGACCCCAGTGTCACGGGGCACAGGACCCTGGGATGAAGATGGGCAGGGGCGGGATGGGACCCGAACTGACAGGGGTGCAAAGAGCCAGTCTGATGCATCCCCACCGCACAGGGGATGGTCTACTGGGGACCCCCATCCCGTGCGGGGATGGACCCATGCCAGAACCAGCTGGGAGCACCAGGATGGGCAGAAGGGGTCCTCAACTCAAGCACCCCCACAACAGAGAAGGTAGCATCCACAGTGCTTGCACCCTCCCTCATGCCCAGAATAATCCCTGTGGATATAGGACAGTCGCCTGGTCTGTGTCGGCTTTGACCTATGTGTATATTTTAACTAACATTAACTGAAATGGCAAAGTAAAGAGCTGCTTGGAAGGGAAAACACAAAGTTGGTCAAAAAAGGCCAAAGTGTTTCTGACCACATGGGTGGTTGGGCAAATGTTGTCCAGGGGAGCAAAGATAGCACTGAAAACCACAAGTGTCTGGTTTCCTCAAATCACTACTTTTCTGGTTAAAAACAAACCGGGAAAGAAGGACATTTTGGCAGCGGGTTCCCCAGGGCCTGGGGAGAAGCCTGGCTGTCCCTGCCTTGGGGGACACAGACTGGCCCAGGGGATGATGCACTGGGTGTCCAGCCAGGTCCCAGCCCTCCACTCCAGCTTCCCCAAAATGCTTTGCACAGGGCTGAGATGCCCCTGCCCTGGCCTCCCTCTCCTGGGGGGGCTGCCTCCACCCCCAGCACCAAGTCCTTGTCACACACAGCGTGGCTGTCCCTGCAGTGTCCCAGTTGCCATCGTGTCCCTGCTTGGTGCCAGAGGACAGACCCACCCTGCTCCAGGCGGAGCTGCCCCCGGTCCCAAACCTGTGCCACCAACCAGCCAGTGTCCCCTCCCCGAGCACCCCCAGCAAAGGGATTTGTCACACTGTCCCCCACCCCCAAAAAAAGAGGCTGCTGTGCCAGGACTGTCCAGAGAAGAAGTCTTGGGCTGGGGGGTGCTTGCTCCGGAGATGTCCCTGATCACCGGGAACGGTCACCGTGGGCAAGGTGATCTCTGCAGCCGGACACCCATCTCTGGGCTAGTAATAGTCCTCCTCACTCTCCCCGTAGTCCTCGGGCGTCATGCGGGGCTTCGGCAGGGAAAAGCCCGTCAGGTTGAGCTGGTCTGAAATGGCAGTGTGGGGACAATGTGACATTGTTCCCCCCGGTGCCTGTCCCCTTCCCCACCACGACAAAACCGTGCATGGCAGCTTGCTGAGGCATCCCCAGCACAGCCCTATGCACCGGCAGCTCCCATGCCAGAACACCCTGCCCAAACATCCCCTCCCTCGCCCCGTGAGAGCGTGGGGACAAAGACATGGTGCTCACCCGGCGTGAAGACGGTCAGGCTGGCTAACGCTGCCACCTCCCCAACCCTGTTCCTGGCGAAGCAGCGGTATGTGCCTTCATCTGTCACCCGCACGCCCTGGATCTGGAGCCAGCCCGTCACTTCATATTTCTGAGGGCCGCCTCTGAACTGCAAGAGGGGGGATTTTGGTTAGCACTGGGGTGAGGAAAGCCCCGTGTGGGGCTGGGACAGATGGGAAGGGGGATACAAGCCCAGGGAAACTCTTTGTCCCCCCACCTAAGTACCACTCTGGGGCCAGGCACGGACTCCCTGGATGCAGGTCCCCCCTTTTCCCACTACCCAGGGGAGGTGGGGGGAACGGGCATCTTCTTGCCCCTGGGAGGGCCTGGGAGCCCTATTTTGGGCAGGGCCCCACAGACGTGGCCTAGACTCCCAGCTGTGCCCCCAGTGGTCCCCAAATGGTGGGAGGATGCCAGGGTCGGTGCTCTGCAGGGTGACTGAAGCAAGGGAGCATCTGTGCTGCGGGCACACAGCTGGGATGGTCTGGGGGTTTGGGGTCATGCTGGGGAGCAGCGCAGCCGGCAATGGGACGAGGCAGGGTGGGAGAAGCAGCCGAGGTTCAAAGGCAGACTGGCAGCATCGGAGGACCAGGACCCTGCAAACTCTGATGGGGGCTTCACAAGGGGCACAGCCAGCCCAGGACGGCTCAGAGGAGCCCCGAGTCCTCCATTTTGGCAGGCAGTGAGGTCCCAGGACTGCTCTGGCACCAACCATGCTATTTTCTGTTTGTCCCCAGCAAGAAATAACCTTTTCCTGACCCAGCTGGGCTGCAGCTGTGTTTGCAGGCTGCTATTATGCCGCGGTGGCTGGGGGTGTGGAGGACAGCCGAGTCTCTTCCAGCCAGGCAGGGTAGCCCTGCTTGGGGTGAAGGTCCTCGGCCAGACCCTGCAACAGGGTATGGGGTGACATGAAAGTCAGAAAGATGGAGGGGGACCAGCACATCACCCCACAACAGTGCTGGGTCCCAACTGCTCCCCTGGCTCCCCCCATCCATCCCACCACAGTTTCCTCCCCGCCGGTGCCTGGCTGTGGTGCATGGCCCCTGTGCCTCTGCCCACGCCCTCTAATAGCCGGGTATGCCCAGCTGGGCACTATATTTGAGGCCGGCCGCAGGCAGGATGCTGACCCCTGGGCGTGCCAGCTCTGCGAGGGGAGCCCTGCTCGGAGCGGTGGGCAGAAAAGGGCAAGGACTGCCTGCGTCTGCTGGTGGGAGCAGAGGATAACCCAGGCTGGAAGGGACCTCAGGAGGTCCTCTCCTCCAGCCCTGCTGGTGGGGCTGCGAGTGAAGCCAGCAGGCAAAGCAAACTACAGGCAGGGAGGTGGGGAACTGCCTGCTGCAGGACTCTGCAGGTCCTAAAAAATATTCATAAGTTCAAGAACTACTAGAGAAAATTGCAGAAGAGAGCTATGCTGATGGCTCCTACCACCAAGACACCAGTCCTGCCTCAGCCCGTCCTCATGGTGTGCAGGCTCCGGTCACCCCTTCTCATCCCCAGGCATCCAGGCTTGGCCACCCCCAGAGGATGACCACCCTCAGGTCTGGTTGCCCACGAGCTCTGGGAAGGGCTGGGTCACCTCGGGGCCATGTCCAATGCCCTAGCTAGGCACACTGCTTACCTGGACAGAGATGTGGGGGTCATCTCCAGGCAGCAGCATCTCCGTGCCGTCCTTCCTCCACTCAATGGATGCCATGGGGTAGGCGAAGACCTCGCAGCCAAAGATGACGTCCTGCCCGGTGACGTTCCATGTGTCGTAGGGAGGAGAGGTGATCTGGGGCTCTGGGGAGGGGGGACAGGAGAGCAGAGTGGGCTCAGAAGGGGTCCCACCTGGGCTGGTCTGAGCGGGTCTCCTCCAGGCTGGGAGCATTCGGCTCATGTAGAGATGCTGGGTCCCTTCCCATGCCCCTCTCCTCTCCCACCCATGGCAGACCCTCACCTTGCTCCAGGACATAGTCCCTCCTTGCAGCTGGGACTGGGGGCTCCCTCCCCAGCCCCACCTGGCCCATCAGGGGTTGCCATCCCTGCTGGCCTCACTTTCCCTGCCCGCACAGTGATGCTCAGGGACATAGGGGCGGCAGGAACAGTTCAGTAAGAGCAATGTGACAACGCAAAGCTCTCCCGTGCAATCGGGGCATGCTCCTCCTGCGGGGAAAAGGCTGAAGGGCACTCATCCAGCCCGAGGCTGGTGGGGCTGAATGAGGCAGATGAGCTTCCAGCTGAATGAGGCCTCTGCTCTGGCATGGGACTTGTGCCAGTGATTAAGGGAGCCAACAGGTCCCCAGCTGCTGTACAGAGCCAATACCTCCAGGTTCCACGTCCCTTCCCTAGAGGGATGGAGTGAGGACCACCCTTCCTACCCACACCTGCTCCAGGATCTGGCCCATAGCATGAACTATCAAGGGTCAAGGGAAGGCCTCCACCTCCAAATATACCTGGGGGAAAAACTCAAGAACATGATGATCTACAGAAAATAAAGTCAACCTTGATGCCCTTCAGGCTGTGGTGACAGCACTGGGCGACCTGTGTGGACCGGGCAGACTGGGGCACAATCTCCCCACCACTGCCTGCCCCCCCAGGCTCCCGCTGGGTTTTAAACAGGAGATGGAAATCGTGCAGCCAAGTCAAATCGACCCAGGTTTCCATTTGCAGGAGGCAGCCGCATTTCTTGGGAGCGCCGGGCCAGCGTGAACCCAGCACTGCCGCCAAGAATTCGCTAACAGTTCCCTGGAACTTCCCCATCTGCTTCGGCAGGATTTGCTGCTTCCCATAAACCCCGCTCCCACTTGGCAAAGCTGCTCCCAGACCTCTCCAGGTGCCGGATCCGCAGGGGCTGCCCCAAAGCAGCAGAGCCGGGGGAGCTGGGGGAGAGGGACCCCGGAGGGTGGGTACCCTGTACCCAGCCTCTGGTGCTGCCATGTCCCTGTGGATGCTGTGGGTTTGCTGCCAGGTGAAATATTTAAACCAGACTCCCTTGCTCGTTCCATCCTGAGAGGTATAAGCCTCCATCCCGCTGCCCACACAGCCGTTCCTGGGGCACTACCTGACTCGCAGGGACCCTCATGGGCCACAGTGAGGTTGGTGTCAGGGTGGGCACGGGCAACCTCCAGGAACCTGCAGATTTGGGCGTAGGTTTTGCCATCGGAGCCGCAGAGGGCCAGGTGGGAGAGGCAGGCGCACTGGGGCTCGGGCACCTCTCCGTGCCGCAGGTCCCCGGCATCCAGCCGGCACTCCAGGTGCTCCCCGCACTTGCCGTAGAAGTGGTTGGTGTTGTCCAGGTCACAGATCTGTCCCTCCAGGTTGGCACACTCCCAGCAGCAGTCGCAGGCATCCCGCACCGTGCCAGCCAGGCACCCGCGCGGCGCTGGGCACTCCTCCGGCCGGCACTCGGCGCAGCCCTCCCCTTCCTCCAGCAGCCGCTGCCAGCCGCGCTGGAGGTAGTCAGAGGTGCTGGGAAAAGCCTGGCCCAGCTGGAGCGAAGCCCAGTGCAAGGAGAGCAAGGAAAGCACAAGGCAAGAAGAGCTCAGGGTCTTGGCTTCAGACATCCTCGTAGCAGCTCCCCTATCCCGGTCCCACCATCACTTGGACAGGGATCTCCGGCACTGCTCTGGCCTCCCTGGCTAGATTCGAGGAGCCATCTGGGCCTGTGAGGAGGGAGGACATGTGTTACCAGTGCAGGGAGCATCTCCCACCCCTCTGGCTCCCGGCTGGCTTGCCCTGAGCAGCAGCGCTGCATGATGTGCAGGGGAGGGTCGGTCCCAGCCCCTCTCACCCCCAGCCCCGCAGCCACGTCCTTCCCACCCTGAGGCTCCCCAACCAGCTCCTGCCCCAAGCTGCTGAGCATCGTCCGGTGGGACGGGGCTGCTGACCCCAGACCCACCAGGTTTCACCCTTCTTCCCTGGCAGCCTGGTGGGCAGAGCCCAGCCTGCTCTGATCCCACCATGGCCTGGGGAGCCACAGGGCTGGCGGGGGGCTGGACAGGCTGCTCTACACCGTCACGATTCAGCTGGTTTGTACCCTGCTCCTCGTCTCCTCTCAGGAAGCGGTTCTCAAGCCAGATGCCCCTTTCCTTTCCCCTTCATTTTGCAAGAGTCACGAGCCCTTTTTTCCTCCCTCACCATCCAGACAAGTGCAGTGGAGCGGCTGGTCCTGCAGACAAGGGGCTCTTTCCATGCTAAAGGCAGCCAGCCGAGAGGAGCCGAGCCAGGAGGATGCTCCCGGTCACGCCTGGCTTTTGTCGTCCTCCCCTCCCTGCGCCGTAACCCCTCTTTTTAGGCACCACCTGCCTGAGCAGGGGAAGAAATACACCTCCAACACAGCTCTGTGACCCCCTCAGTTATCACACAGGCTGAGCACGGGGGAACTCAGCACACAAGTCGGCAGGCGGTGGACTGGCAGCAGGCCCAGCGTGGTCAGCCTGTACCGGCAGAGCGGGGTCCCTGTCCCCAAACCCCAAGCCTGCACTACCACCCCACCCCGGGTAAGCAGAGAGGCTGATCTGCCCTGGGCTTCCCATCTCTGCTGGGGAGACACGTGGGGTCTCGGAGCCTGTCCCTAGAGGGGGTGATGATGAACTGAACCCCTTTGTGAACACCCCCCTGGCCCCCAGTTACAGCCTGGCTGCCTTCCCTGAGATGGAGTGAAATTACAGACCCCTGCCCCAGGGCCACCCAGCACAAGTGAGTGGGGCTGGGGAGGGAACCCAGGTGGCCGGGCTCCCCCCTCCCCTCCTGCTGGGAAGCGCACCGAAGGGCAGGCTGCAGCCCCCCCAGCTGCACCCCGCAGACCCCCCCCCCCCTCCCCCCGGCCCGGGGGGGGGGGTTTTCCCCCCCCAGCCCCCCCCCCCCAGCCCAGAGCTGGGGAGGGGCGATGGGGATGGCCAGCTTGGTGGGTTACACACACATGCACCCCCGCATAACAAACTGCAAAGCTTTGACCCGTTTACCGGAGACCACTGAGCCCCTCAGGGATGGAAAGGGGCAGGGGGTCCCAGTGCCGGAGCCCCCCCCAGGCCCCCCTACCCCGGGCTGCATGGAGCAAGGCTCCAGCCCCCGAAGGATGCGGGGGGCCAGGAAAGGGGGGCAGGGGATAACTGCAAAGTTGGTCTCTGGCTCCCCAAATCCGGGGTGCAGGCGCTGGGGGTCCTGGCTGAGCCCCGGGAAGGGGCACGGCCTCCCCGGGGTCCCCCCCG